GAAGAAGAAGAGGAGGAGGAGGAGGAGAAAAAGAAGAGGAGGAGGAGGAATCAACATTCCAACAAGCAAAACTAACTGCATACAGAGTTAAAAGGGCAATAAGAGGAAAGTAAACAAGAATATAGATGTGAAAAGAGGGATGTGTTGGGAAGGTATCTAGGGGAGTGAAGTAGAGAGTTCGGGGTGGGTATGACCAAGATGCATTTTATGCATGCAGGAACTATCCAAGAATAAATAAAAAATATTGTAGAAAAATTATGTACATTAGCTTCTGAACATACAAAAGTACAGGTAACCTATGGGTTGCATATATAAAGAATCTGAGCACCTACTTAAGGCAGAAGAAATAAAGCATGTAAGGCAGAGCCTTATGTTTTAGAATGTATTTTCCATCATTCTCAAGTAAGTTGTTACCTAGAACACTAAAATTTATTACAATATAGAAACCATACACTACCTATGTCATTGATTTGGGAGTTATAAAGAACTATAGATAAAATGCTCCAAATAATACTCAACACAAAACTAGAGCCCAATGTGCTAGGAATCAGTGCTCATAAGTACATTGTGAAGCCAGCCTGTGACCCCATATACTCAAGAGGCCACCGCAGGAAGGAAGATTGCAAGCTAAAGGACAGCTCTGATAACTTAGAGAGACCCCATGTCAGAATAAAAAGCAGAAAGAGGGCTGGGAACATAGGTCAGTTGTAGACCACTTGACCAGCATGTTTAAGACCATCATTGCTTGGATACAATCCCAAGTACAAATAAATTAAAATATATAAACCACAAAACAACTTTAACCATTTATGAAATGAGTTTCTTAATTGCATATCACAATTGGGCTAAGAAAGGGCTGTTCACACAGCTGTTAAGCCCTGACTGTATCTGTGAGGGAGCTAGAGTTTCTGGAAGAGATCAGCAAAAATGGTCAGACTAAACAAACACATGGCCTCATCAACATGGAGACAACAGCATGCAGTCTGTCCAAGGTCTCATGAGAACTGCAAGATGGAACGGCTAGAAGGGAGGGTTCTCCCTCTTTGAAGCTGGAATGTCCATCTTATACATTTGGCTTCGGTCTCAGTGCAAACAACAAAGGCTGTCTTAGTTCTTTGGTCTTTGGGTTTTGGTGGAAACAACCACCGATTTCCTTGACTCTCCAGCTTGCTGGTTATGGACTGACTGCTTAGAAAGACAGTGAAGATTAAGGGACATAGAAAAGGGGAGGAGCGCCTCACTCACAGGCCTGGATTCCAAGCAATTGTGAATCAAGAATTCAACACAGTTAATGTTATGTGCTCTGAAGGTTGTTAAAGTGAAGATAATACTCATCTATATACAGAACCCTAAAATAGCAATGAAACATACTCCAGGCATACAAATGCCCCCAAGTATTGCCTTATTCCTCTCCCAGATATTATCTGGGAGTCTCACAAGCAAGACTATTAACTTTTGTTGACAGTGGAAACATCTTAACTAACTTCCCATGAAATTCTTGTGATCTTGAGTTTTACAGTACCAAATGCAATTTGTCCTTCTGTCCTTTTGTCTGCATATCTCAGGAACCACCCAATGATCTTATTTAAGTTCCTTAGCAACTTTGAAAAGATAGAGCTTCAAAACATATTGACATTAAAAACATGAGAAGCCCACACCCACACTGGGGTTGGACCCCTTCCCTGAATACTTTCTACTAAACCATGACCTAAACACCTCTTATAAACTCCAATTCTGTTTAATACTGACTTGTTCTAAAATTCTTTCTGCAGCAAAGTCAAGAATCTAAACTTCACCTTAGAGGGGAATTCGGAAAGGACCTCTCTTAGGGTGGCAGCAGGCAGTTCCACGGATTTATGTTTCTGGCCTATCTTCCTACCACTGCTGAGTTGAATTTCTTCCTGCAGTCTCTACTGTGTGTATCATATTGCTTTCCCTGAAAATGTGATGGATAAAGTTATGTTTTAAATTTCAATTACTGTGCCTAAAAGACCCATAAAACAAAACTGCCTCTAACATTCATGCCCCTTGCATGAATAGACACTTCGTGAAATACTGGAGGCTTTGCTTTTGTAAGATAACAAGTCACACATTCTCCCTCACCTGAATAAACTTGTTTGACCCAACTGCACAAATTATGCACCATCACATGGGAGGTCATGGGCAGGAAACAATGTCAGGATGTATGCCTGGCCCTGAATGGATGTAGACAGGAAGTACTCAGGCAGGAAGCACGTTAGGATAGGTGCTTTTCCCTGATTGGACCTGGAGGGAATGCATAGCCTTGTTGGTTTGCATTTTTACACCTCTGTAAAAATGGGGCTTGTCACCATTTCCTGGGAATCCCAGAATGCACCTGACCAGAGTCCATCATCCTGACCAGTATTTCATTAAAGCTTGCTTCAAATTTTGCTTAAAATTGTGGTAGTGGTCTTATTCCCTCTCGACCAATGAAATTAATAGATTACCCCACTTGATAAACCTGAAAAAGGTAAGCCTGAGAATAGTAATTTTTAATAAACTTCTGCTAACCACAGTACATTTAAAAATTTGCATGTCTGTGTATAGACAAAAAGTACATGTGGATGTGCAGGTATGCATAAGTCACGTATGTATATGTCATGCATGTATAAATCACGCATGTATATGTCGCATGTGTATAAACCATGTATATATAAGCCATGTACATATAGGCCATGTGTGTATGAACCACATACATATAGGCCAGATGTGTATAAGCATCATTTGTATAGGCCACGTGTGTATAGATCATGTATGTGTAGGTCACATGTGTACAGGGTATTTGTGTATAGGTCATGCATGTATAGGCCATGTAGTGGGTTCCATGAACAGTTGCTCTCACCAAACCTGAGCTCACCTAGGCTCGCTTTCCAGTGAGCTTCAAGGATCCTCCCATCTGTCTCCCCAGCACTGGAACTGTAAGCGAATACTACCATGCTCTGCTACATCTCACAACTTCAAAAATTTAAAAGGAAAACTCCAAAAGCTCTCTCTCCTGTTTCTCAAAGTACTTCAGTTATCAGTGTTGGTATTTAGTATAAGCCCTGAAGAAGGAAGTAATCGTGAGTGAATAAAAATACATTTGGAGTTGGAATATGATAGCAAGATTCCAAACTTATAATGCAGAAAACTAGCTTTGATAGATGTGGCCTATAGGAGACGATACGGGGCAGCCTAGAAAAATGCCTCTTGAATGTGATGTACAATGCAATTACCTAAGCTTCTTATGAGAAACAGATTCTGCTCCAAAGGGAGGTACTGAATAAAGACAAAAATCTTAGGGTATGAGGAAATCACATGACCGCCGGCCTGGCTGCATACAGGGTATGAAGGCCACAGAGATGTGGACCTATGTAAGCCCAGTGAGATCAGAATCTCCTCTGGGGTATTTTTTAAAAACACAAGCCTTATAGAAACAGGAAACTCTTGAGTTTACAATTACACCTAACCAGATCACATCACTCTCCCAGGATAAAATAGAACACTTTGAAAATATGTTAGAAACTGTTACCTAAAGAAGAAAACAGCATAAAATAAGATTTTTGCATATTTGCTGCTATGATATGTGTGGGGAAAGTATGACAACATGAAGAGCTGGCAGCTGAGACCCTTAGCTACTTATTCTCACATCTCACCACTACTCTACTTAAGCAATGCAGAACTTACTTGGAAGTAAAATCAAACCGAGTTTTCTATGTCTTTGTGTTAAAGACTTAGACAAGAACAGTATGGCTTAGTCAGCCAGTCACAAAGAAGTATTTACACATCGCCTGACAGATAATGTAAATGTATGTCAACTTCTTGATGAATGGTTATAGATTAACTATTTACAAACACAGAAACAAATTATATAACATTAATGGTTTGAAACAAAATACTCTTGAAGAGAAACAAATCTGACGGTAACTGCAAACAGCCTCCCGAAGAGGGAAGAGCTTAACTTTCCACATGTGAGGCCAATTGCTTCCCTAAAACTCTACACCAAAACTGTGCTCTTCCATACCCAGAAGACCCTGAAATTAAGAGTTTACCTCTCAGCCAAAACTGAAGCATATCATCTGGCCCAGACTCTAATTTTGATGAAAACAGTCAGCAGCTTCCTGTTGTCTGGGGCCAGAGGGAACATCTCCGGGGGTTCTCAGGAAAAGCCAACTTTATCCCTTGTGGCATTTGACAACTTCAAGAGATATTTTCATGGTCACAGTCCAGGTGTAAAGGAGAAAGCACAGTGTAGCCGCCATCTATGCGGTGTAACTAGGGACCACTCAACAACTCCTGAAGTGCAGGGACCCTGGCCTATGCTGCCGTGCGGTGCGGAGCTTGCAAACTCTGATTTAAATCACAGAGCCGGCAGAACACAGAGGGAAAGTCCCTTCTGTGTGCTGATTCCATTCCCAGCAGAGTCATAGTACTGTATGGTTATCAAATACACCACGCAGGAACGTAAAGGTTATAGTGACGGGGAGAAGGGGTGCTTCCACATACATGATCACCACACTTGAAAAAATACTGCGGTCATTGTCAGGAAAAAGTAAGTTTCTTTTTTTGTTTTACCAATTATCTAGTAAAATTCTTCTAGGTTGTGCAAACTGTCCTACGGAGGGCACTCCCCAGTGCTCGGGCAGGACTGTGCTGAGGGGCAGGGGCAGCCTTCTAAGCAGAGAAACAGAGGAACGGGACCTTCTCAATTTTTATCGAAATATCAGTTTCTACAGTTGTCCTTCCAGTAGTATTGATGCTTTATACATAATAGGCTCAAGTCTTTTATAAAAATTAAAGTCAATGTGGCATAACAAGTAGCATTTCACAAGCAGGAAACAAAACAAAATGCAATTATTTTCAAAACACAATCAGAGACCTCCGTGGCCTCCAGGCATCTCTTCTCCTGAGATGGCTGGAACTTAACTGCCCTGAGAAATCCTTAGCTAGCTCACGTTTCCTGAAACACGGGGAGCTGACAATCACAAGGTCGAACATACCCTTAATCATTGATTCGGCTGCGTAGAGATCTTGTTTGTAGGTCACCTAAAGGACAGATAAACCTCATTAGACTCAACAGAGCAGGCAGGAATGTGAAAGCAATAAAGCAATGCCCCCAAGGAAATTCTTCCTTCTGGAGAAACGGTACACACAACACAGGCATTTTCCAAATGAAAGCAGCATTAGACATTCACATTAAATCAAATATTTCAGCAAATTATGAAGATCTGAGTCTTACATCTTTGAATAAATTATGATAGCATATAACAGAGGTTACTGAAATATGATTAATATACCTAGGAATTTATAATCAGAGAAAACGCGTAAGTGTTCAAACAAAAGTATCCATATTACTGTTTTATAAAGGTTTGTATTGGAGAAGAAGGAGGTAGGGAAGATGGAGAGAAAGGGAAGGAAGGGAGGGGAGAAGGGCTGAATGAGGAAGGGAGTCTCCATAAAACACAAGTCCATCAGCTCCGTTCTCAACTGAAATTCTTAAAAACTAATTTACATTTAAAGAGACTTCTCCAGAACTGGGACATTCTTTATGAAACAAATTAGCAGCCTCCTGTGAGGTTTTCCTTAAAAACCAGCTTCTATAAGACGTAATCTATGGGGTGCCACAGTGTGCCTAAGAAGGGAGAGTTAACCTTAAGAGCAAACAGCTTGCTCACAATGGCGCTCTGCTCACCTTTGAGGACCCTGCCATGGTATGTAAGTCTGGTCAAAGGCAGACCCTTCCCAGAGGCCATCCACTGAGTTCAGACACAGAGCGCCTGCAGAATCGGTCTCTTACAGTAAGGAACTAGAGCACAGTGAGCCATGAAACAGTGTTAAGTAACTACAATAAGGTCCAATAGGCTCATGAATTACCCAGATGATTAATGATGCCAACGATTTAAACCTCATTTTGACAAATGCTCACTTAACTCGTACCTTCCCAGATTTTCCCTAAGTCATATCATCCATAGGTTTGTAGAGATGTCTTTTTAGCTCAGGCAGACCAGGGCACTTCTGGGAATTAGATTCATCTGCTGCATCCTCGCCCTCCAGTAAGTTTGTTGGTGCCATACTCTTCAGGGCTGCAGCAAGAGCAAACTCAAAGGAGAATGGAAGGCCACTGGAGCATTTAACAAATCCACTAAAATCAAACGGACTGTGATACTGTCGCTAAAGAAGGAACGATCCACTGATAGCCATGACTCTGGGCGCCGCAGTTACTAGCCACAGTCTAGTTCCCCATTCTAGAAAAGAAGAACAAGCTCACTCTATAGATTTGCCAAATACAATGTATCTTGTTCCAATACACATTTATAAAATGGCTCTGGATGCTGCTCACAGCGCTAGCAGTCGGGCAATGCAAGGAGCCAGCTGTCCCCTGCAGGGAAGGACTTAAGTCAGGGCGAACTGTGATGCTGAGCAAACCTTGGTTTAAACTCTTTCTTAGCCAGATATCTGAACCCACATCTGACTAGTATTTGTGTTTAAAGTAAAGAGATATTTGGTGCAGTCATTATCTGTTGTATAGTTTAAACTCCAGACAGAAATCAAGAATGTACTTCTCTAACTATTCATTTTTTATTTTCTCTGGCTTTGAGAAGTAAGCTACATTCTAAGTTCAAATTAATATTAATAGTAGATTTTTAAACTTACGTAAGTTTATCACCAAATTTTCAAATAGCTTTTAGAATTCTTAAAACAAAACACTGCAGTTATTCATGAATAAAATAATTGGGTTATTATTTTAAAAAGTAATATTCACAAACTAAATTTTAAAAGTCTCTTAAGTTTATTTCTCCTGTCTCCACATTAGAGGCTATAGTTGACAACGTAAGGATTAATGATTTGTTTACTCAGATCAACATCTAGTATGCTTTGAAGAGCAGACTGAACGCCAGGCATAGGATCATTCATCCACAATCCCAGCACTTGGAGACTGAGGCAGGAGGAGGGGGAATTAAGGCCAAATTAGTCTACACAGTGATTTGAGGCTTGCCTGAGCTATGAGCTACATAACCAGATATTAGCTAGGGGGAAAACTGCTTTTTCCTAAATAAAACAGCTAATGTACTTCAAAGGGAACATTACTGGAAAATGTCATAATTCTAAAATGATGTGTTATTCACTTCTCTAACTTTCTATAAAACTGAGTTGTCCTTTCCTTGTTTTTAAGCAAACAAAACATTACAAAAGCATCCTACCAATCAGTTTTGAAGTTGATTTTCAGTACGTCTCAGCCTTTGGGGTAAGATCAAGTGTTGAAATTGATTTTCTTCTGTCAGCATGATCTGTACTTTTCCTTTGACCTTGCACAATACTCAACTATTGGCAATAATTACTTTAAAAAGAACAATCTTGCAGCAATGGACTAACATGCTGATGTTTTTCTCACTGACTGGTTTTCAAACTCTGCTCACTGGAGCCTCTGGGGTGCCCTGAGGAGCACTGAGAGCAGCCTGTACAGCCTCTGGGGTGCCCTGAGGAGCACTGAGAGCAGCCTGCACAGCCTCTGGGGTGCCCTGAGGAGCACTGAGAGCAGCCTGGACAGGAAGAGCCAGTCTAGCCTATACCTCCCCCTCACCAACCCCAGCTCGGTCATGTCTCCTTCGCAAGGTGGTATCTGGGTGGTGATTCTCCTGAGTGGTGTGTTTATCTGAGAAAGTCAACAGAAAGCAACCTGAAGTTCACACAAACAGGCCAGGTTTCCCTCAGCTCCCAAGAGCCACTTCACCGGGGAAGACTACACATATCTTCTTCGTTTTATGTGCAAAGCCACAGAAGAAATCTTTCCCAACCACACCAAGCCAAGGCAGCCTCCACTTACCTTGAGTAAGACTACATTACACTTGAAGTCTCCAAACACCAACCTCATAGGATAATTGTAGTGATATTTCATTTGAATTTTAAGAAATAATGCTTGCCTGAAGTTCAAAGAGTAAAACAGCTGCACGGATCAGTCTTACAGACCGGGCAGTGGTGACGCACCTTTAATTCCAGTCATGGAGCCAATGAAGTATTACAGTGCAAGAGACCCTGCAGGTCCCACTGTGGTGGGAGAGGCCACAGTAGGTGGGAGACAGATAGATACACAATGGGGAGGGAGTTTGGGTATAGAGTTTATTTAGTGTGTATTTGGGAGGGTTTAAGGGTAAGGGAGTATGGGGAGGAAAGAGAAAAAGAGAGAGATAGAGGGACAGAGAAAGAGAGGAAAGAGGAAAGGGGGAGGAGGAAGAGGCTGCCTCTTCAGAAGAACAGAGACAGAGAGAGACAGACAGAGAGAGAGAGAGAGAGAGAGAGAGAGAGAGAGAGAGAGAGAGGAGGTATGAGTTGTCTCTTAAAGGAACAGGATACCCAGGTAACAGGGCAGGCCAGCATAATTATAACAGCCACAATAGTTTGTCATAGAAACCGGGCAGTAGTGGTGACTTTAATCCCAGCTCACACACAAAGTCTCATCCTGAGATTCCTGGAGGCAGGACTGCCATTTCAGACTGAGGTAGAGGTAGGAGTCAGTGGCTGTTTTGCTTCTGACCTTCAGGTTGAATACCAATCTCTGTCTCTGGGTTTTTATTAATCGTGCTACAGATAATGGAGACATAAATCCAATACTTGGCAAAAAAATACCCATTAATTATTATACTTGAAAGATATAGAATTTTCATTAGACACCAGTGTTAGGCCCAAAGGGAACCCCAGAATGACAGTCTTGGCTTAGGTCTAGATAGCCTATGGAGACACGGCTGCTCCATATCATCCTTCCTCAGGTTTCTAGCAGCCAGGAAGAGCCGCTTCCCTGCTGGTGTGTTCTTAGGTACACACCTAAGCCACAGGCCTGCAGCACTCCCCGCCACCTCCCCCCCCTGCAGCTAAGGGTTTTTTTTTTATAACCCAGAAGAATTTCCCTTTCTTGCATGCTTCTCTCTGCTCCCAGAAAGATAGCACAAACCGATGCCAGTCCATCCTTCTCCTCTCTGTCCCATAAATTTCCCAAAGACATCTGGTTATTCTCTCTTTCCTATTATTATTATTATTATTATTATTATTATTATTAATAAAACTTCCCACCCATGAATTGGTCATGCCAGAGGTTTCTCAGTCCCCTTGTTTACAATGGGTATTTTTGTAATTCATTTTTTTTTTGAACTTCATTTCTTAGCTTGAAAAAAGCTGTATGAAAATCCCGACATAGAAATCATATCAGCACACAGAAGGGCTGAGAACTAAGCACAAATGCTTTCACTTCTTTGTTTTTAACTGAAATGCTAAAACAATGGAATTTGTAAAAGCTCTGTCTGTCAAAGGGAGACTTCCAGTCATTCATCCCAGTAATATTGCGATGACACAAATACACCCAGGCTCCTTCTCGGGATGCACTGGAAGACAATGAAGCAGTTGTTAAATTTCTCCAATAACTGGTTATAAAACCCATGCCTTGGAGACATTTTTGACATTGGGAACGAGAAATCTGTTTAGCTCATGGTGTACAGAGTACAAGTGTGAGCTGCTAGTGTCTAAAAGTATACTGGGGGAAGACATGGGACAGATATTCACTTCCGTTCTTCTTAAATAGGAACAAGTCCCACCAAAGCAAATGATCACTGAAGCTACCAGCTTCCAGCCAATCAGGAGCACCATGAGCATGGATCCCTGTCTCAGGATCTGCAGAAGGACTTTTCTATGCCTGGGCATTTTTGTATAAAAGGAATAAACCATGGTATCTTGTATGGTAAGAAACTTTTTTAAAAGTAAATTAATAATGCATTCCTCAGACATCAAAGGAGCTAGCACAGGCAGGCTGGAATTAACCCTTAATGTCTGAGTTTTCACTTCACTTATATCAAAATATATATGTCAACGTTAAAATAACAATCTCCTCATGGAATTTCATGGCCTTTAATCCAGTCCTACAGCAGGCACCAGGAATCTTGTCACCCTGCATCATTAGGGCATGAGTTCCTTGACTTCCCAGGGCAAGACAAGCCAGACTGTGGGGAGAACACCCTGCCTAAAAAGACAAGCCAGGATATTGGAAGGATACCCAGACTGGGACAACAGCAATAGTACATTTTGAATATTTTCCCTTTATTCAGAAGAAATGTAATACCAAAAGCTCAACAGTGATGTAACAGGTATGTTTCCCAGTCTACCTAGTACAGATTTTATAGATTCAGTACCCTCTCACGCATATTGTCAGCCAAACCAAAACTCACAGCTGGGAGCCTCCAGCTTCTTCCTGTTGGGGAAAAATGATGCTAGATGTTTTGGCAATGCAAATTAGAATAGAGCAAATTAGGTACAACCTTTTGGACTCATCAAGATATGGATTATTTTCTCTGATTTGTCAACTGCTAATGGATTAGACATTGCCCAAATATATTGTACATAGTTATTGTACTTGTTGTATATAGTTTTTCATATATTAGTTATAAACTTTTTTATTTTAGACACAAAAAGGAAAATAGGGTGATATCTTGTTTATACTCTAACCAATAAAGCTTCCTAAAGAACAGAGGACAGAGTTAGCAACTAATTGACCATAGAGATCTGGAGGTCTGTACAGATAAGCAGGAAGTGATATGGCTGGGCAGAGAGAGGAAGTGATAAGGTGGGATGAAGAGAGGAGCTCGGTCTCATTTGGGGATGAGAATCTTAGAGGTTTCTCTGATCTTTCAGTTTTGATCCCCTAATATCTGTGTCTGGGTTTTTATTATTAATACCAATTAGAACTCAAGCAAAGCATGTCATTGCCGTTAAAAAAAAAAAAAATGCCCACTAATTGCATAGACTTCCAGGCAAGGGAACACATTTCTTTAATCCCAGAACTCAGGGACAAAGACAGGCAAATCTCTGAGCGACTGATCTACATAACGAGTTCTAGGACTACCTGAGCGACCTGGTAGGCTGGGATTGAGAACTCTCAGAATTTCATAGCTATCACAGGATTCCCAGCACCTTGGAGCAGCTCTGCCTGTTTTAAGCTTCAGAGGCTTGGCCTACAACACTGCTTGAGGACTCTTCTAGATTCACACTCTTCTCCCTGGTGAAGGCAGGGCAGGCACGCTGTGCAGCACCTGTCTGGACACAGGGCTGCAGGGGATGGCGCCACCGTTTATCTCCCGCAATCCAAGAGTAAGGTGCATGCCAGCAGAAGACCATGGGTCACAGCGGTAGTATACATGTCTTCAACTTGATTTAACTGGAACGAGCATCCCAGAGCTAAGGAAAATGTTGCTGGAGTAGATAACATAATTGTAGCTTCAATCCAACCAAGGAAACATAAAACAAGACCGCACATAGAGAGCAAGGAAAAAGACCCAAGTCAACAACCCTACAGGTCTAAATGAAATACACCTAATGGATTCCAAGTGAAACATCCTCACATACTGATGCTCACAATCCCAGTGAAACTCTGACTTCAGAGTTCTCTCTCTTATGATTGGAAGCATAATACACACACACATGCATGCGTGTGCACCTGCACACACAAAACACACTCATGCTCACGCTCACTCACACACTCACACTTGCTCATACACCCTCACTCATATACTCACACATACACACTCACATTCACTCATACTTACTCATACACCCTCACACACTCTCACACTTACATGCAGCATAAAAGTCCCACATACCGAGTCTCTCTTACCTTCCAGAGGTCGGGAGGCCCTTCTACAAGTTTCGCTTTTGTCTGAGAATATTTTAGGGCCAACTGCAAGCACTCTGTTCCAAATTCCAAGTCATAGTCACTACACTGGGGACAAAGGAAAAAAGAAACATAAAGTAATTAACAAACTATAATACAATTGGTAAAACATAAAGCAAAATGAAACAAAGAAGTCTTTTATTTTAAAAACAGGAAAAATACAAAGGAAAACACTCAGAGCATTAGCAAATGTTTTAACTATTTGACTGTGTTATAGAATAATTCTTCTTGTACCCTAAAAGTGAAGTAAAACAATAAGCAAATAGCAAAGTTTAAAGCATTTCAGAGATCTGGGCTCCCTAGGGTGTCTAAGAACAATATTTCTTTCTGTGCTCATACTTAAAAGAAGGGCTGAGGAATACCATGTCAGCAACCTCCATTTAACAAACACATATCTGTAAAACCCAAATCCCGTTCTCCCATTTACAACTTGATATTAAACCATCATGGCTATGATTCATTTTAATATTTAGAATATCAATATGCCATTCTTAAAACATTTACATCTGAGCACATAAATGGTTCAGTCTTTCATTACATAGAAAAATGAAAATGTCACAAATACAGTAAAATGCATGTAACTTATTTTTAAATTAAACCATCAAAATCACTAAGCAACAACCTAATTCACCAAAGTTCTGAATAATGTTCCATTGACATAAAGGTAAATAACACAGGAATCATGTCCTCAGAGGAACATCAGTCTGGAGTGGAGGCTGACTTCAGAAATTGGCAACAGAATTTTGTCTGCAGCACTGGAAGGGTATCTACAGGAAAAACACTGGGAAAGTTACCTGAGTGCATGTGAGGTTATCAGGAAGGGCCTTTCTGAGGCAATGGGCTCTGGTCTCCAGCTTAGAGATTAACAGAAGATGAGGAACAATGTCTAATCAAATCTTGTCTGGGTAAGAGCATCATTACATGTTTATTTTCCAAGATAATGTATGAGCATGCAACTATGTGTGAGGGCGCACTTATGTGTGTGTACACCTATGTGTGTATGCACCTATGTGTGAGGATGCACCTATTTGTGTTTATAACTATGTATGTATATTACCTATGTGTGTGTATGCACCTATGTGTGTGCACCTATGTATGGGTGTACACCTATGTCTGCATGCACCTATGTGTGATGATGCATGGGATACGGGTGTACAGATGGGGTTCTGAGACCTTATGTTTGTGTGAGAGGTACTTTACCCACTGAGCACCCATGTAAGGGGAACAACAAGGCACAAAAATAAATACAGTTTTCAGCACAAAATTCCAAAGTTATTTTATTGTCCTGGAATATTACAAAATCCTAACTGTAGTAGCTTTTGAAATTAATGAAGAAAACAGGCAAATGTGCAGTCTTCATTTCACCTGGACTCTCACGCCTCACACCTTCTATTTTTATGTGCTATATGGTAGAATTTCTAGGGATGGTTAAATGCAATATCAAGAGTTGCACTTGATAAGACAAATGTTGGTAGACTTCTGTTTTACACTTTCAACATTTTTACAGTATAATCTACAGTGTGTGAGATGTCTGCAGAGGGAAGAGTTAGACCATGGTCAAGTTCAAACAAGGACTAAGAACCTCCACTCTTCCCTGGATCATCACACTACAAAAAATATGTACACTTCCTAGTCAGTCTGCTGGTCTCACAAAATGCATAATGAGAAAAACCCATAGAATGAGTTCCTTCCTGCCTGATTCCCATGGTTGTGTGAAACATACTGGATGCTATGCTCTTGACCATGCTGTAGCTAATTCTGTGAAAACAGAAAAATATAATGCAAATATATACATAGACTTGCAATGTCTCTTCTTTTTGCATATGGATATGAGTGAGCCAGTACATGTGACCTTGCTCTCACAGGAAAGTGTACCTTTTCTGAGGTCTAGCATGTCTTTCCCAACCTGTGACCACAGCTCTGGCTAGACAGATGGACAGACAGACAGACAGATAGATACATGTGCGTGTTTGTGTGTGTTTGTGTGTGTGTTTGTGTGTGTGTGTGTGTGTGTGTGTGTGTGTGTGTGAAATTTATTCAGGAAAAAGAGGCTGGGCTTGCTTAGAGACAATTCTGGACTTATCACTATATAGATTAATATTACAATAGTAATCGATCTTGAAAAATTTTATAATAAAACTTTAAAAGTAAGTTCAGAAGTCTGCAATCAGTCAAAAAAATCTGAATGTCTGCTATTGAAGAATATTAATGATCAGACTCTCTTTACTAAGACATGGAAAATTATAAGATATGATAAACATATCTGAGCAAAAGAAAGACAAATGAAGTAGTAGCCAAGGGGTCATGAACCAAAAGTCATGAAGCCATGAGATACATATTTCCTACAGGCAAGTCATTAATATCACGGATTTTATAATAACAGACGGTGGAATAACATCTCTATACTACACTTGCTAATCCCACAGGTGTGTGGAGAAAGACCACCAACCCAAATCACAGACAAATTAATCAAAGTGAGCTTTTTTAGTGCATACTTGGGCTGTCTCCCCTAAGGCAGCGTTCAAGAGATCAGCACTGGGTGTGGGAAAGATAAGGCCTTTCCAGCTCAGGAGTAAGGGATTTCCAAATGGGGGTTCGGCAGGCAAATAAGTATGGGCCACAGACGCAAACATGGGCATAACAAGTTGCTCATAACAACCCTCTGAAGCAGAAGTGCAAGGTGGTCATAACAACCTCTGTGAAATAAATGTAGGGTTGCCACTTCCCGGAGCAGGCAATACAGAATCATTTGTACCTATGGTTACAGGTAGGGCTAGCTTAATTCTTGCAAAGCAGAGATTTAATCATAAAATGGAACAAACCCTGTCTGTCTTTACTATAAGATAGCTTTTAAGCACAAGATGGAGGCGGGCTGGTTCATCTGGCCCTCCTCAGGAATCCTCTTCCAGCAAGGAGTCCTCGCCTACACATCTAGCTTTCTGTCTATTTGTTTCTGCTGCTGTCTGTATTGACCATAAGAACTCTGAATATATTAATAACAGACATTTTCAGTTCCTAGTTGGGCCCAACTTCCACATTTCTACCACTTCTCCACACTCTATTAAAAGTTAGAATGCATCAGTGAGCTCACCAAGTTTCCTTAATGCTGCTCAATCCGGTCAAGCTGATAACCAAGATAAACCATTAGAGTCATGTTGGTCAGGGTCAGGCTTTCCTGATGCCATTTCTCAAGAAAACTGCTCTGCAAAGTTTTGATTCTGTACTTTATTTGTTTCTCTTTCTCAATGACAGAAGAAGTGCTTGCTCAGCTTCTAGACATGCTACGAAGGGGTAGCAGCTTCTGAGCTCCTTACAGAAGACCACACAGAATTCCCAGAAGGCTACAGGAGATGATAGTCTACAAAACTGGAAGGAAGAAATGAGGCAAGAAAAGACCTGATATGGAAAGCCCATATACACAAAGGAGTGAGAAAAGGAATCACAGTGATTACATTGCAGGAGCAGAATGAGAAAACAGGCAAGAGGCTCAACAGAGATTATCTGTGCGAGGTCTCAAAATAAATAGAATGCTTCTAGACACAAAAATCTGACATGAAAATCAAGATTGGCATGAAGGTGCTTTACTTTTGTGCTGTTTCCCATGTATGCACCTTTTTGTGACTACTTCTTTCCCCAAAGAATGCAACATTTATTATATGGTTATTTATAAATTATATATATGTATATATATTATTGTACTATGATGGAAAAAAAGCACTCTTTTTCCTAAACATGAGTGCTTACTAGTAGGAAGTACAGTATTTAAAACTTTCAGAAAGCCAACCTGATGTTCCAATTATAAGCTGCAGAGAATATAAAATCTAAAATCATATCTATGTATTGTTACCCTATCATAAAATTTTAAATCTGGCTAGCATTAGGACAGACTAAACCCTTATGTTACCTCACTGAGGCTTCAAGCCCATGAAATCTCCACTGTTCTTAGACTGTCCTCATCATCCAGTAGGCAACGGTTAAAGGACTGTAGAGGATCCCAGCTTCCTTGTTCCACTATCCTAACAGCAGATGTTCCTTATAAACTCAGTCACAAATTAACCATGTTCTAATCAGCTTTCCTGGTTGGTAGTCTATACATGTATCATGTGTATGTGCACATGCTATTAAAAAGCAAAAATCTGCCAGGCATAATGGTGCACACTTTTAATCTTAGCATTGAAGAGGCAGATGCAGGCAGATCTATGTAAGTTTGGAGCCAACCTAATCTACATAGGGAACACTAGACATCCGGGGCCACATTGGGAGACCCTATATAAAATAAATAAATAAATAAATAAATAAATAAATAAATAAATAAATAAACCTCTGTTGCAAGGCTTGATGTGAAAACAATCCATTCATCCCCCTCTATCTAACTTTGTCTCACAAACAGGCAATCCTCACATGCTGTAAATGTTAATCTAGTATGTATTTCTATGTGTAACAGTCAGCCTTTGCCCAGTAACAAACGTGCAGAAATTCTGTTACAATAAACTGTTCATCACACAATTGTAGGATAGCAGAGGTATCATCCTTCCACCTGTAGGCTGCAGGGCTCTGATTCATCCGTTTTTCTGGCCACTTAGACTGGAGGGGCAGTAACTAAGACTGTTTTCCCATGACTTCTAAGCGCAGCACAGAGGACAAACCCAGGACTGTTGGCACATTGTCAACCTCCACCTGTTACATCTAGCAAAAGCCCTTTGCCCAATGCAAATCAGGCAGACAGACACAAATTGAGAAGGAGACACTTTGCCCAGAAGGATTCGTGGCAATGGGACAAAGGTAAGGCACTGTTCCCAGAAGATGATGACTCCGCTCTGACTGTGTGATTTACCTACCACACAATGCCCCTAATTATATACCTGTGATATCACCTTCTGCTTTTTCTGCTGTATTCATCCTCTATTGAACAACAACTTCATCTCTTTTCCTCACCACAATACATACATTTTCAGCCCCCATCATTTCAATGCTGTAGCTTTAATCTTACCAACAGGGAGATTTTACATCATGGACTATGTAAACTTTTCTCATAGCTAAAACACATA